GAAGACTGAATTTAAGAAGTAGAAAGTGACCAAACAGTACCTGGCATATAAGTGCTTACTTATTATTATTAACAAACATGTCATTTAAAAGATGATTTCTTCGAGCATTTAACTTAAAATAGGCAATGGTCAAAACACACTTGCTATTAAAAAGAAAATGCACTCTATTTCCACAAGGAAGAAAGTCACAAAGTTGTGCAAAACCATTATCTCTAAGCAAATCAACCACTCCAACAGATTATAAATTTAAGAATTTCAGTACTTCAATATCAAATTAGATTCCTGATGAATAAAATTTTTCAAATTCTAAATTACTAAATCAGAATTTGTTTTATTTTAAATGAAAGTAAATTAAATTTGACATTTATGATAAAAGAAAATACAGTTATTACAGATAGATCATAAATAGGAACAATTGTCCAATTTGTTTATGAAAATAAATTATATTCAAACAACTCACTTATATATTTGAAATTAAAATGTCAAAGAAGTCTTAGACAATTTTTCCCTTTAAATTTACACTACTGCCTTAGCAAGCTAATTCCAAACAATTTGTAACAAAATTTGAAATTGAAATGTCTACTAGGTTACAACTTCAAGTACCCGAAAAGAACACAACTCACTTTGTTTGGCTGGAAAGTGGGTGTTTTTCTATTCACAGATGACCTCCCCCAGACATCGCAAACAATGAGATACACTGTGTGACTGCTCCCCTCTGTTAAAGCCATGAAAGCTCTGGCTCGTAGGTAAGCAGTAACACTTGGGACATTGCCCAGGTTTAGAGAAATTACCAAAACATACGCTACACAAGCATTTTATTTTACTAAGAAAGAATTTGAAAAACTGGACTTATTTTCTTTGTAAATGCTTTGAGTGCTTTCCTGAATGTCTTCATGGTAAGCAAGCTTGTGAAAGAGGCTTTGAGCCAAATCATGTACTATACCACGTGTCTTAGTTTGTACTTCATTGCTGTGACAAAATACTCTGACCAGTACCAACTTGGGGAGGAAAGGGTTTATTTGTCTTACAACTCCTAGGTCACAGTTCATCAGGGAGCCCAAGGTAGGAACTCAGGGCAGGAACCTGGAAGCAGGAGCTGGAGCACAGGCCATGGAGGAACACTGCTTACAGGCTTGCTCCCCTGGCCCCTGCTCAGCCTGCTTTCTTAAGCAACACAGGCCCACCTGCCCAGGGGCGGCACCACCCACAGTGGGCTGGGCCCTCCCACATCACTCATCAAGAAGATGCCCTTCAGACATGGCCACAGGCCAGTCCAATAGAGGCAATTTCCCGATTGAGGCTCCCTCAACCCAGGTGTGTCAAGTTGACACTAAAGCTATCCAGCACACCACGCTATATAAATATTATACTACACCACTTTATAAATATTAATATTCACAGATGAAAAGAAACTTATATAGCAAGAACATCACTACGTATGCTTTGAGAAGATTGAATGTGTTGATAAAAAGGCAATTATACAATAAAACCTTTTCTCAGTTAAATTTGTTAAAATTTAATGACAAAGTATTTAATTTTAAATCATTTTGACACAAAGACAAAAGCACACGATCACCCAAAGTTATATTGAGTTGGTTAGAATTACTGTTTGGGGAAAGATTGGTATCAGTTTATAGGATTATGATGATCTTATTGAGTTTATTAAAGGCAATCAACAGCATAAATGCAGTATCTATGACCCTGAATACTGATGTATTATTTAAAATGCTGTTTTTAAAAGGACAATTAAAATGAGTTTGTTAATTGATAATTATAATGTGTTCTGCACATTAGTCAATCTAATAATGAAAAGAAGATAAATTGAAGTTATTAAAATTAGATTGAAGCAATGTAGAAAATTGTATATTTTTCTTTACTAAGGGAAGCAATATAGCTTCTGATGGATATTTCTTCCTGGTTTTGTTATGAATATATTCATATATATGCATGCATATAAGAAAATATTTCTTTTCCATCTCCTTATCCTAAGAGGTATTAATTTTATATCATAATATTTAAGTATTGTTAACTTTAAATCATAATATTTAAATTATAGGACATCATCGAGAGAAGTGAACATCACAAAAGGACTTTGTATCCTTTTCTTGGGAAGAGTACATGCATTTTCAGTTGCACAGGGTAGCTAACTTACATTAGACAGAAATATGAGTTTGGTATTTTTGTCTTTGAAAATTAAATATGATTATAGTCACCAAGTTGATATAGTACAGAACCAAAATACCAGATACACTCTCATGCATTACTGTAGATATTTCTGTCAAGGTACAGATGAGAGTAAGTAGTGGGCTTTCAGGTAAGCTTATTGTCCTCCAGAATGTGGGTGTGATTCATTCAGTCAGCTAAAGACCTCACTAGACAAATGCTGATCTCTCATCTTAGAAGGAATTCTATGACAGCCTTCAGAATTTGCAGCCTTGAGTATTTTGGACAGTCTCCAAAATATTATGAGTCCATTACCAGATAGATCTCTTTCTTTCAGTACACATACACACACACACACACACACACACACACACACACACACACACACACACACACACTGTTTGTTGTGTTTCTCTGCAGAGCTGTAGCATACCCTCGTAGTTAAGAGTTAAGAACTTAAGTTCTGAATCAAAGCTACCTGGAGAGTACTACACACTATGAAGACCTGGACAAAGTATGTATCCTCTTTGAGACTCAGTCTCCTCTTGTTTCAAAGTTGGCAATAAACATTGGTCTTTACACAGGACTGTTTGAGGGTTAGACAAATACTATATATGGAAATTGTTTAAGTAAGCATACTCTGTGTTGGACATTGGTCCTGACATTCAATAAGTAATACAGTTAAATATCTTTCACTTGCTTTTGTAAAGGAGGAGATAACAAATGCCTTTTTCATTTGTGAAGTTTATAAGGATATCTATTTTTATAAGAAATATTCATGTTGAAGGAAAACAAGCCGCGAGTCTTTGAGTTGTGACTGCTACAATGAAATAATCGGCATTTGAAGAAACTGAAGTACAAGTATATCTTGCTTTATACAATAAGCATTTTCTACATAGATACCTACCTGTATAATATCTGTATAATACCAGTATTATAATCAAATAATTTAGAACCAGATACATAATGCGATTCCTAATTTTAATCATTCCTAGAATATTGCCTCTAATTTCATAATGTTTTCTGGGTTCCTATTTATTTCGTCCAACTTCTTCATCTGCCTGTTCACTATCCCACAAGATACCCAGCCTACAATTCCATCTCTTTCCCTACGATTCTCTGTCAAGTATTTATTATTTATGTAAATAATGTCCCAATGTCCTTTGTGCTTATTGAGATTCTGTTTAAACAAAAGACAATGTAGCTAAATATTTATACTCTTCTGGCCTGGTGCAGAACTTTATAATGTTAAAGCAAAAAGTGAAAATTTTAAATACAAAATGATAGAAATTATTATTTAAAACAAAATATCCCAAAAACAGAAAGGAAAAACTAAAATGTAAATCACAAATGCACATATAACTTTTAAAATAGACCTTCAAGTATTTAATATAAACAATAAGATATTGCTATTTTATAATGCATTGTACTGTACATCAAATATCCATATATATTATCCCATTTAATCTCCTAATAATCCTGTAAAGAAGGCAGAAGACAGACATTATCAATGTTGATACTAATGCTGTTTTGGCTCAGAAAATACTTTGTTTATGGCAACCGTCTTGTTGAGCAATATCTTTGGATTTATCCCATTAGAAGCCAGTAGTCTTTTCAAGTTTCTTTCAATTATGGTAACCAAGAATGTCTCCAGATGTTGTCACATTTCCCCTGAGAGGCTGTATCCTCGTTTTCACAAATTGGGTTGTTGATGCTCAGAGAACGTATGTGACTTCTCCCAATGCCCCTTTACTCTTAATGATCTATGAACTTGACAGGGGTGATGTAAATCATGACTCACTTGACAGGAATGATCTGGACAGACGCAAATCACATCTAATCAATCATTTGTGGGTTTGTAGACAAATATCACACAGGCATTCTTGGATCCACTTATTCTCAGCAGGTTCAGATACCATCTCAGGCTTCCTTTTTCCCTCACAAATGGAAAATATGCCAATACAAATTTTAAGTTACAAATAATCATTATTATGGGCCTGGAGAGTTGTCTCAGCAATTAAGAGCACTTGGTGAACTTGCAGAAGACATGAGTCGAGTTTTCCCACACCCACATGTCAGCTCACAATCATCTGTAACTCCAGCCCTAGGGATCTGATGCTTTTCCTGGCCTCTGAGGACTAGGCATACATGGCATATATACATACATGCAGTCAAACACTCATACACAAAATAAAAAAAATCTTTTTAAAAAGAAATAACTGTTACTACAGTTTACCAGAGCATAAAACATATTTTCATAAGATATGCCTAAGTTGTTTCTCAAAGAAATTTCTATCTCAGTTTCTTCAGGTTTTGTGAAACAAGCTATCTTTCTTATTAATTAGGCAGCTAATATGCCATTTAACCTTCATGATCTGCCTCTGTCAAACACATGCAAGTGACGAAAAATTGTCCTTATATGGAAGCATCAAAACAGGAAAGCTACTCATGCATTAAAGTTAAGGGTAGAGCTGATGATACTGATTGTCTGACCTCAAAGACTTCCAGTTATCTTCAATTGTTGAAGCACTGTCAGTGTGCTCAATTGTCTCATCACGTGTAGTCTTATTCAGTATAGCAAATAGCATTTTTTTCACATTATTATCTTTCTTCAGGCTTGAAAACATACCAGATTATGATATTAATATTCTAAACATAAAACCTTTATATAATTAAGCAACCATGGTGTCTAAGTAGTGCTTTAGCTCTTTTTGAATTGTTTCCTAATAAAAGAAGGAAAACTAGAATCGTTCCATAGTACACTGCCATCTTTGTGCAGGCTGGTAAGATAGAAAGGAAATATTTGAGTGGCAGAGGAGCAGGGTTACAAACCATACCTTCCATGACATAGACCAGTGACCCCACATCTCCTTCCTTGATAATGCAACTGTCTTTGCCATATTCCACAGGGTACATACAATCCACGATCTCCTGGATCTGTGACAGCTCCAAGTTCTTCATGAAGTCATTGTCAAGGATGGCCTCTTTTATGAGATCCTTGGACCTATGGCAAGAGAAGGAATAGTTACTGACACATATGACAAGCTCTTTCATAGTTTTGAGGCTCTGCAGAGTCATGCAGTGCTCTGGCACACTACAAATGCATTTTTTTCTGTTGGAATTCCAATAGCTTTATTAAAGGCAAGAGAACAAAGTCGTTCCATGGAAGCAGAAACAGAACAGAGATTTTTTTCCCGTTAAAAAATTACATGTACTGAGGAAGAGACCAACACAAAAATAATTGAAATACAATTTCAAATTGTTTTACAATTTTTTAATCTACAAAGATTGTAGGAAAATCAATAAATACATATTTTAATTAAAGTTTATAATTTGGTTAAAGAATAAATATAGACAAAATTTGCAAATCTATAAAGAAATCTTTTTTATTCTTTAGGTATTACAAAAGAAAACACAATTTTGTTTTGCATACCCCTTCTACTGAATTTTATAGCCTGTATGTACAGAGGTTGCTTTAAATTTGCTCTCTTCTCTGCACTCATTTCTACTATAATGCCAATCATAGTACAGGTACTTAAGACATATTCTAGTTAAAATTTTGTAAGTAGTAGATGGTTGGTTGAAACAACAGGAAAAATTTGTGACAGTTTTTCATCTGTATCTGACGCTTTATTAGAAAATATTATTTCTTCAAACATCTTCATTTTGGATAACCAGACAGATAAAAATTATATTGAATAAGATATTTGAAGAGTCACATGATTCAGATCTGGGATTAAACACAGATAGTAGGAAAGATGTGAACATGAGGTTCATTGTTAGCAGGGGAGTTTTGCAGAACTTAAAAAACAGTGATAATTTCATTCACTCAGAAAAGAAGTTCCACATCAGTTACTATGAATAAAAATCAAAGACGAAAAGAAATACTTTGTCAAGAGGGAAACTATCAGAGTGTAAGTCAGGAAGTGAGTTCAACGAGAGCCAAGTCCTTAACAACACAGATGAAGCTGCACATTTGGACTTTAAATTGAAAAAAAAAACTTTTTCAAAAATGAACACAAGTTGGCCTTTGTCCACACTGACTCAGCCAGTGGCTTTCAGAGACATGACCTGCCATAGTGACGACAGACTAAAGCATCAACCCCCTCCTGCATTTCTGGGTGACTGCTCATTTAGACTAAATCTTCACTGACATGGCTTCACTTAGTATGATTCATAATGATTTGTGTTCAAATAATAAAAAGACATACATAAAAAGAAAATAGCTGAAAATTCATTTCTATGGGAAAAAAACTCCAAGAATGGATGGTCATATTGCAAATATAATTATGCTTGTGCAAGGCGAAAAGGCATAGAGGAAGCAATAATATTTTAAGTTAAAAAGTAGGGTACGTAGTTGATTTTAGGGTAAATGTGTATGTAATGAAATTTGTAAGAATAGGCTTTGAAGTTATATATACCCAGGCTCCCACCTACCCTTGTTACCTTTAAACCTGCTTCACTTTTCTAAATTTCCATTCTATAATGGCACTTTAAAAAATAACCACATAGCAGATCTATTTGTGAAGACTTGTAACAATCTGAAATTACTTTCAGTAAATGATGGGTGATAAGTTTGTTAGCAGCATTGATTGCAGTGGCCGTCATATAAGGACTAGATCACACTATACAACCATGACTTGAAACAGTAGCAAAATAAAATCAATAAAATTTTGACTTTGTTCTTTGACAGACTTAATTTTTTCTTTCCACTTTTCCATATTTTCAGTTGTCCATATTCTTAGTGTTTAGGATCAATATTCATCTGTATGTTAAAAAAAACTTTCATTTTAAAAGTAAATCATGAACAGTAGCTTCTATGAGAAAACAATAAAATGAATCTATTTCCCATTGAATTAACAGCGACCAGATATGATGGCTTAGAAGATATGACTCTCCCATAGATCTTCCATACAGCTTGAGTTCTAGAAACTCTGAAATTGCTAATGGTGGGAATTTTCACCTTGGGAAGCTATGGTGATAGATGGAAAGTTTTTAGAAGGCTCAGGATGTTCTCTATTTTGAAAGTCCTGTTTAGAAGGCAGAGGTCTTCAGTTGCATGACTTATGCTGTTCCCACTTATTTTTAAATTCCCATGTGCCCAAACTACTTTGTTTTCAGGCCAAAATTTGCTTATCTTCAGAGTTCAAAATGAAATATGGATGTTGTCTCCACCCATGATCTTCATGAAGCCTAACTACCTCCCTTTCTCCTGACCTCATGAACACTAGTGATTTCTTCATACTGACTCTCATATGTACTGAATTATAATTATTTTCTCAAATACCAGGGATTTTTATCTTTAAGAAATTCATTTCAGTCAAATCATACTATATTTTCTCTTTACTAAAATTTTCTCTATTTTATTTTTTGGAAGGTTGTTCAAAAATCAAAGCCATCCAGTATACTCACAGCTCCTAACAGAATAAAAACTAGATCTTATCATCCCATCACCCTACCTTGATTAGTAAACAAACGTTATTCTATTCTTTGAGAAATATAATGATATTCTATTAAAAGATATAAGTTCCAAAAGCATATCAGAATTAGAAATAAAATTCTCTTCCACAGATTATTGAAGAAAGTCATTTCCTTTGTCTCACAAAAACATTTTAAATGTTATGAAGACACCAGAAAAGATGAAGGAATGACCTTAGAGAACACAATCCCTCACAATCATCTGAATTTTCCAAGCATCTATAGCAGAAAGCCATCATAACTAGGGTACACTTGCTTCTCAAACTTCATTTTGGGTGAAGACCATTTAATCTCATGATTCTGAAGAAACAAAGCCTAGGCACCTGTGCCAGCTTAAAGAAAATTGATTGATCTTTAGACAAGTTTCAGAAAGCACTAGCATGCACAAAAGCTTGGGTAAAATCCTTAATACTGCAAAATTAAAAATAAATAATAAATAAATAAACTCATCAGCATAAGACCTCTGACTTCTCATTTATTCCTTCATATAGGTTTTATCAAATAACATTGTCAATAAAATATCACAAATAATCTGCCTCTGACATCACAACAAGATGTGAGTGTTGGGCCTCTGTGATGATCTTTCCAGTAAGATCTGAAGCTCAGTCTCTACTGATTGTCAGTCCTTTCCACAGGAACCAGGAAACTCCGTCTACTCTCTTACTCTCTATTTGCTCCAAATTGAAGAGAACAGTTAATCAGAGCCTGAAGCTAACTCTTCTTTGACTGTATTTGTTTACTTGAAAGAATAGTCTAAGACACTCTCACTAAGACAGGGGTTGTACATAAGACTACCTGATCTGTTAACACATATAGGGAGCTAGAGGAGAGTGGTATCACAAGAGCCTGAGGTGGTTATCTGTCCTAACCCAGAGTGCATACCCTAAGAATATTTTTCAAGGATTTATCAGCCTGGTCTGACCTAGGAGGTATAAGAAGCAAACACCAAAATCTTGGTTCTTCCCATCCTCTTTATCTGTCTCAGCGTACAGTTAATCTGTTTGGAAATCCATTTTCTTCAAACAGCCACAACATCAACTTCCTTCTCTGGAGACTAGCCCCTAGTGCCTTGTAATCATCCAGTTGTCAGCCTCTGAACTATTAGAAGACAGAATGGTGCAGTGGCATCCTTGCTCTCTGTGGGCATGGGAAGCCTTGGTATTTAGTAATGCTTATTTCTATGATGTAAATACTGGCTCCACAGGCAACTTTAAATTAAGGGAAAATCATCCTTCTTACAAAGTTGCCAAAAAAACTGACAAACTGATCTCGCATGAGCCAATACAGTTTTATTCATGGATACCCTAAGAATTTAATGTACTTTATGAATGTCGAAACCAAAGAGATGGCCTTCTTAAAAGTTTCGTCAGATGGTATAATACTCATAGATAAATAAAAGTGAGAATTAGCAATAGTTATTCTAAACTTTCTATTTTAGAAAAATGAATCACAACGTGTATTTACCCATGTACTTATTGACGAGAAAATTCCTGAAAAGGCAAAGGAGTATTTGAAAGAAGTTGTATTCTTATATGATCTTAGGTAAAATTAGGCAAGTGTTAAGGTGAGTGTAAGAAAATATACACCTATTTCTCCGATAAAGGACCCAACATTACCTGTTGTTAAACATTTCCTCATTAATTTTCTGGTCCTAACAAAAGGCTATTCTACATTGTGGGCACTGCACTAGAGGGTTAACAGATCTAAGTGCTAGTCATGTTATTTCAAGGAATGGAAACAACAATTTCAGGGCTGAGCTGAGGACTGAATGAAATAAGATCCAATCACTGCCTCCTCCATTGTAGAAACTGTGGAAAATAATATTCTAAGCACAATGAGAAGGAAAACAAAATGTGTCAAGGTCCAGAGGTTGGGACAACTGTCATCTGTTCAGGATCAGAAAGAAGAGCCACGTGACTGAAGTTCTCGTAAAGAATTATTGCTTATTTCAAAATAAGATTACTAAGTTAATGGAGGTTTTACACAATTAACAGATACTAAAAGCCAAAATTATTACCATGCTCACAAGGAATGTTTATAATTGAATCACTTGGGAGTTGCTGTCTATAAACACTGTATTTATTAGGAACTCAAATTGCAGGTTCTCAGGCCTCTCTCACGTATCAAGTCTATAAATCCCAATCCCATCCCCATTGAAGATACACAGCAGTTTTTATCCAGATGAAGTTCTCTCAAGACCTCCTAACAGTTTCTAATTCCAGGAGTCATTGCAGAAGTCTAACTCCATTTATCTAGCATGCAATGTTTGACTGATCACCTATCAGAAAAGTACATAAATGAAGCCTCTTGAAATTGTTTTCTGGCTGCCTCACAAAGAATATAGCCTATCTCTTGCCTAGAAGTTTTTTTGAGTGAATTCTATAGGTACAAGATGGCCGAGAACTAATATTAACCAGGCCACATATTTTAAAGATAAATTTTAAAGTTTAACTGGTCAATTTAAACATTTCTTCAAAATTGAAAACCTGTCTACTTTAAGCCTGGATTTTCATGTCTACCAATCCA